AGAAATGTTTTAGTCATAGATTAAAATTGTTGATTAAATAAAGTATTAGCATGATTGCTGAAAAAAAAAAAAAAAAATTAGCTAGATTTAGATTTAAAATTAAATAAATTATATATGTAATCTGAGCTAGTGTTATTAATAAACATAGATATAGACTATCTATAGATATATAAAAAAATATAAACATATTCATATTCAAATTATAAATAATATTGATCCAGGCATTTGATTAGCTATCTTTCATTATGCTTTACAATATTGATCTCAAATATTAACTTAAATACCTACTAAAATGTTAGTATTTTTATTAATATAATAAGAGCAATACTATTTGTATCTCTGTTTTTACTATTTATACCTCTTATGTATTATTAATTTTAGATACCAGAATAGGCATTGCTATTTGTTTCTTCTGCTTTTACTATTTATACCCCTCTTCTATAAGTACAACACTAACGATGACATATAACATATAATGTTTAATTAAAATTTGTCTTTACTCAAGTTCACATATTAGTATTATTGGTGCCATACAACTGTAATAATTTTTTTTACATATGGGAGAGGGATATGAATAGCAAAAATAGGTATAAATAGTAATTTCCTACAATAAACACTAAACTTTGTGTTGTAGCAAATTTATGATATTTCAAATTTATTAATTTTATTTATTCATTCGGATTTGAATTGATTTTATGACTGGCAATAATTACTGAATAAATTTTGGTTTTACAACTTTTTGTTTGACTGTTCTATTTTTTTTAATTATTTACAATTCGTCAATGGTTTCGTCATTCGTCAATAGTTTCATCATTCGTCAATGGTTTTGTCATTCGTCAATAGTTTCGTCATTCGTCGATGGTTTCGTCATTCGTCAATAGTTTCGTCATTCGTCAACGTTTCGTGTGACGTCACAAGTGACGAAATATTTCGTCATCACAAAAATAGTTTCGTCAGGAATCATTGATCAAGGCCAATCAAATTATAGAATTTTTAAAAAATACAAAGAACGGCAGTCTAAATCTACCTCAGGTAGGTTAAGTAAAAATGTCGGGAAGGCAATTTTGCTTATATATAACTACCTAAAACCTAACCTAACCCTAATATAAGATGACCCTAACCTTAAAATTAATCGAAAAATATGAGTTGCCCACCGCTTTAGACACCCCCTAAATAACGGGAAAACATCCAATCAAAATCTTTGATTATCATTTCTGATTACTGAATTATCACATATGTCGTGCCTCAGATTAATACTTGGTCAGATTAAAACTGGCCTAAATTAGAGTTAGGGTTAGGGCGAGTGCTAAAGATTTAGCCAGGCCGATTTTTGCAGATCATTTTAATGCTAGTCTGATGGTTTTAATCTGACGCACGTATTAATTTGAGGCACAACCCAATCGTAGATCTATCAAAAATGCAACCTCTGACCTGAAACTTTTCCCTTAATTCGAATTAAACGCACATGGGAGTACAAAATATAACGTGCAGATGGTCAAAATAACGCCATTTTAGGGTACGATATTATAATAAAATAAATTGATATTGAAATTTTGATTTATTATAATCACTAATTATAATTAATTATCGTTATTCGTTATAGAATAAGAACCAATTTTCAAACTACGATTACGCAACTGATTTGGGTGGAGATGCTAGGTGGGTTTAACTGATTATAATGGGGTTAATAGAACGAGATTTCGGGAACGAAATGAATTTTTTAGGTTTGTCCTAGAATTTATGAGAACAGCTGTAAGCTCAGGATCGATCTAGCCTCCGGCCGAACATTTAATAAACCGGTAGGATAATAAATAGTTATTGCATGCGATGTATGTATGCAATAACTGCAGTATTTTATGAGCGTTCCTGAATGTTTGAAACCCAGCCGGTATCATATGCAATTACATAAAAGATACAAAATTCTATATTGAATTTTTTTTTTAAATTTTATGCGACATTTGTGCGCATTTTTAAAATGAATAATAAAAACATATATAAAAATGCATACGTATTAGATATCGATATCTGATATGGTAGTACGTACGTACGTACCATCGCATAAATATCGCACAATTCGAAATTATCACATCGCACTGGGTGCGCACAATCTAGGGCCTCTACATAAAATACAAAGTTATTGCTTACGTAGCAGGCGATAACGGATATATCGTTATCCAATGTTAATTAAACTATGGTTAACTTATCTATTATAATAGAGGTGGTATCTGTTAATCCATTCAGATAAAACGGTAACCTACTCTGGCAGATATTCGAATAAATTTTTGCATCATGAATTGTAATGTAAGAACAACAAAACTCAGTTTGCTAATGACAACTTGTAAAACATGATCTTATTATCGAATAACCGGATAACCCGAATTTATTATTAGTCAAAAAAAATTTTATTGTAAAATTCGGATTTTCCGGACGTTCAGATCAATAAATTTATAATACAGTATGCAATGATTTATTTTTATAAGCTGATCATAGTAAGTATTGGATAATTCTCCGGATTTTAACCCCGAATAATAAAATTTTTTATCTTGTATTAGATATAAAAAAGTATAGAGTAAGTGCTTATTTATTTCTTTGATTACGTTGATTACATCAGTGATATATCAAAATAAGCTTTAAACTACTTGTTCATCGTGACGTGACGATCATTATCTGTTAATTTCTAAATGACAAAAAAAAAAAAAAAAAAAAATAGTCCCCGAGATTAAAAATATCAGGATATCCAAGCATTATAATATGTCATCATTTTTGAGCGATCTTCTAGAATTTTTTAATGCCTAAATAAACAAAAAAAGGCTTAATATTTCAATTAATTTAATGTTACCATTAATAATAAAAATAAAAAACGTATTACAAAGTATGTTCCCAAATTAAATATCGGTAAATTGTCTTTGTACGGTTATTTAGATAAAATGTGTTACTTTAGAATCTATGATACTGCATTTTCTTTTGACGGATAAAATCCGATAAAATTAACAACAGGTGTAACGTTAACATTTAGATTTTTCACATTTCAAAACAATAAAGAATATTCTCTAAGAACCAATCATATATTTTTATTTAAGTTTAAAAGTAATGATTGTTTATAAAACGATAAAACAAATAAATGCATAACAATAATAATCGGCTAATGCATGTATCGATATTATTCACTTACGATCATATAAAGTAGGACGATTAGATTGGTTCTTAACAATATATATTTTGGATATATATATATACTCTTATACATATAATTATAGCTTATAAGTCTACGTATATATCCTGAAATATAGATATCTTAAGCAAATTATAAATGTATCAGTATCGGTATGCATTCACTAAAGTGCCACAATTAACTTTTTTTTTTCCAAGTAGTACAAAATATCATGCTCATTAATATTGCGTAGCACGCATTAATGTGCTAATTAGCGTATGAAGGTTGTCATACGTTTTGAAACACTTGTTTATAGTATCACGTAAAAAAGTTGTGTCGCATCTTGGCACTTATTCAGATATCATGAATTCAATCTTGAACAACGTAACTTGAATCAACCAATCACGATTGTAAATTTTAGCCGAATGTCTTTTAATTTTTTTAGCAATTCGAAATTGACTCAATTTACGAATATATATAAAGATAGCATATATAATAAAATGTTATAAATACCAGCTGAAATCAATATCCCAAGTCTAACCCCACCTTTCCATTTAAATTTTTTTTAAAAAAAAAACCATTCCTTTAAATAATCTTTCTCGCTATTATATAAAAGAAGCTTTGCTATCTTTTGTTATTTAAAACTTTAAACACGCTGACTAAATTTTGTTCTTATCACTATGGTTGAAATTCCACGCGTCCCTTTCTGTTGGTAAGTGTTTTTATTGACTTATATGGACAATCGTATATGCCAAGAGAACCCGAATATTAATTATTATATATATATATTTTTTTTTAAAAAAAAAAGCTTTGTCGTTCCTCTCCGAATCGGTGCATTCATTGTTGCAGCATGGATGTTAATATGGTTCGCTTACTTAGGAGTAGTATCCATGCTCGCTGCATATGGAAGTATGTATTTTTTTTGTAAATAACTTTAATTCACATACTTACTCATCTAATTCCCACTACTCTTTTCTTTTTGAAACAGCCTCCATTATCTACACCATTATCTGGAAATTCTTTGGTGCTTGTTATCTCTTATTAGCAGCGGGTGCATTTTATGGAGCTCACGGAATCTATCATGAAATTCCACACCGTGTAGCCAAATTCGTTCGATTTTATTTCATAGCTTACATCTTCTATATTGTTGCTGAAATCGTTTTCGTCATTGTCGTAGAGATAGCCGTGGCAGCTACCATAGCTAACGCTAAGGCTACCGCTAAGGCTAATTGTGAAAAAGCTATGCAAAATAGTCCCAGTCTTCCTGCGAACTACTGTGATAATATATATAATAACGTTAACGCTAACGCTGGATATTCCATCATTGGTTGGATTATTCCATTTGTAATTGGCTTAGTATGGCAAGTAAGTATCAATCGTGTATATGATCGATTATTTGCGTAACATGATCTCGTGTAACCCATTTTTATTCATTATACTAATCATTATTTTTCAATTCGTTAATAATAGGCTTACTTATACATCTGCATCCGATCCTACAGTTTGGAACTTAATGAACGTTCAAACGAAAAAACTAATCAAAATAATTTCAATAATGGACCATAAAAGTCACGTGAAATAATGCCTTTTTAGAAAAATTGTAAAAAAAAAAAAATTTTTCTCGTTCTAATTAAGGCTTAATAGCGAGTTACCATTTAAAATAGAAGTTATTGACCATTTTACATCCGAATGAATTTTAGATGAATTTGCTGTGCTTTTTCGTCTTTTTATTCAAATTTCCCTTCTATTTAAACTAATTCCGTTAATGATCCCAATTTGACTTTTCCTTTTACAATATAATATTCATTTGAGATCCGGGAATTTTCAAATATGTATTTTTATTAATTTCTTTTATTTAATATATTAATAATATATTGTAGTTCAACGTACATATATATATATATATATGGTTCTTTTTTTGATAAAAAATAAAATTTGAACCATAAAAACTTAAAGCGAATCTATTCCTAACCAATCAACCATGCAGATAGGTTACACGAATGAAAATCATTTATTTAACGGTTATATATTTATCTTTTAGTAGACAAATTTGCTTGCTAAAATGATTTTTGAAAATTTATTTAAGCTTGTCTATTTACTAGCAAAAATTAACATACTCTTGTTTTTAAATATTATTTTAAAATTTTATTGTTTTATTTTTAATTTTGATAAAAATATTTAATTTTTTTTCAAATTTTATTTTTTAAATTATTATTAAAATTTTTTAAACTTTTGTTTTTAAAAAAATTTTTATTTTTTTTGCTTCTAATTAAAATTAAAATTTTGCTTATAAAATTATAAAAGTATAATAATAAAAGTTGTTTATTTTTTTATTTTTTTTTTAAGCAAAGCTAAGATAAAGTCATATTTCTATTTTTATTAATAATTTAATTAAAATTTATAAAAAAATTTTTATATATTATATAATACAAAGTATAATTTTAAACTATATAACAAAATTTGAAATTCAGACTATTTTATCTGTAATTTAAACCTACTAGAGTAGTTATAACTCATTTAAATTTGAATATTAATAATATTATTAGCTAGAATATTATATTTATCTATTTAATAAATTAAATATATAGTTTGTAGTAAGCTAATCTTTTAGGAAGATATAGTTTGAATAATTATATATTAGAAATAAGTTTAGTTATAATATTAGCTTATAAGATTTATTTATAAAAATTAATATTTTTTATTTTTTTATTTAAAAAGTTTAGTATAGTAAGGTTTCTATAATTGCTTATATATTAATTCTAATATTTTTATAAATAATAATATTATAAGTTAGTAAGCAGATTTGTAAGAGTTAGTATATAGATATAGTAGCTAAATAAGATTATTTGATATAAGATCTATAATAGTTTAGTGAAATAAAATATTATTAGAAAATAGCTATAATAATTATAAAGAGTAATAGTTAATAAATAAATTTTAAAGATATAGAAGTTGTGAAGATAAAATATCAAGATTATTTGTTATAAAGTTTAAATATATATTAGATTTAATTATACAAAAATTAAATATAAATTAAAGTAAAATAACTAGTATATACTATTATTAGACTAGTTATAATAAAATATATTATTTTGTTTTTTG